AAAACCAGAATCATGACAAAGAAAATCCTGGATGAACTTGTGATAAGTGCCATTTCACCTTGTAGCAGGGCAGACTGTCCAGACCTGGATAATCCTCAATATCTCCATTCCTGACATTGAAGCACGCACCATGAAAAGGACATCTCACTCTGTCACCAACCAGTGTCCCTGAATTGACACAGAGCATGCAACTTAAAAAGTGAAAGAAAGCGAGAAAGATAAATAGCCGAGACGTAACTTAAGTCCTTACCCTTGATCAGAGGTGCACCGTAATGAGAGCACGTGCCTCCAACAGCGCTGTACTGACCCTCGCTGCGGACTAGCAGCACCTTCTGATCCCCCACAGTTACTTCTTTCATTCTGCATGAACACAAAAGGAGAAAAAGAAGAAATCATTATAAAAACCTTTTTTGGTTTTTACCATTTTCCTCTTTTATTTTGATGTTGTTTCTAACGTCCCTGTCTTTGTGCTCTTTCCCAACAGCTTGTAAATATCACATATCGCTAATTAATTTGCCAAGTAGTGGATCACACAATTACTGTGCCACCTGAAGGTCGGTCTGCACATCTTTTAAGATTAGCAGCAAAGGCCTGGCTTCAGGGCTTTCTGCCAAAGAGCTTTCTTCTCCTTTAAACTATTTCATTTACTTCGGCCACTTGGTTTGGTTTAGGAAAATATAACATCTTGGGTTCAAATATATCCTTTCAATTACATTCACCATTTCGTTAAGAAACGTTGGAATAAGATACCATGCTTCCCTGGGTGACAGATCAGGTGTTTGCTCCCAGTGTTTGTTTTTCTTTAATTTTTCGCTGTGTTGTATATGACCATTGCTTCTCTGATCCCTCTGCACTGGTTTTGAACTTTTGACCTGGTTTCCTGTTTGCAAAGGTATCACAAACAGATGTGGTGAATTGCATTGTGACTTACTGTCCATCTTTGAGATCAGCCTCCTGACACACCAGTTCCGTCAGCTCCTCCTGGGTCTCCGTTTGACCGGTTTCTTGGCACTGATTCATCCTGCAATACGTTAACCACCCTAAGTAAACATGTTTGCTGTTAGAATGACTGGGTGGGCCCGCAGACTGCCAAGATTTATGATAATGCGTGTCTAGACCAAAGTCAGCTACAATCCATCTTAGTAGAAAACAGACAACATGCAGGATATGGCCAGAATAACCACACATGAATGGATTTAGCTGCTGTGAAACATTTTCATTGCAAATACTCCTACATTTCAGCTGAAACGCTTCCTGGTAATTAAATATTAAACATTAATCACAGCTCACGTGTTTCTAATTAACAGAAGGTAAGAGAGCAAATGCAGAAAAAAATATATATGTTGGGTACAGAAAACACTTTCTGCCTTGTTCTTCAGAATCGATGAAGATCATATACAGACTACAGCTGTACAGCAGCCTATTAGTATAACAAGGGTTAAAATGAAGTAAACAAGCATCATTATTTATATATAAGAAGGCCAAAACTTTAGGCTAACACTAAGACCAATAGGTCAATGATGTCAAACTAATTTTACATCGCAGCCCACATCTTAACCTTTTCTTTACATGCTCTCTTTAACCTTATTACCCTTCATGCTACAGACAAAATTCAAACCATTTCAGAAAAAAGACGAGCGGGGACATTCGGTGTATCATTGTAACACAAGACACTCGCAGGGCACTGCTGCCTGATCAGCACATGGTAAAACTTTTAGTTTTACAGCCAAAATGACTGAAGTAGTCTATCAGCCTGTATAAATCAGAATTAAGGGTCTATCGCCCTTTGTTTTAGTGTAACAAAGTTTAACTATGCATTTAATTCCTGAAATAAATTGAGGAAAAGAAGTGCAATTCCAACAGTACATCTCAGGTTTTCTACATGACAACAAAATCCTGCTGTAGAGAGAGAAAAAACAGGAATTTTGCTGTCATTTAATTGTTTAACTAGCACTTATTATTTGTCATTATAATTATTATTAGTATTATTTTTATTAATGGCGCCATAATGAACAGCCAAGGGGGAAAGGTCTTTATCAGCAGGAAAAGCTGTAAAACTTATATAAAAAAAACCCTTTTGTACATGATTTGTTGATAATCTGTTAAACATAAATAATGTCAAGACATAATGAGATGGAAAAAAAAAAATTTCAGAAGCTGCAATCAGTTGTTGCCTGTTGTGAGTTTTATACATCTTTATTTATCCAGGTAAACAGTCTCAAGAGAGACCTGGACAAGCTGGCAGCAAAACATAAAAGTTCTGTAGAGATATTTTAAGTAATAAAATGGACTGGGCTGATAACAATGTCAAACACGGAGTGGGGACAATAAAGCAGAGTCAAAAAGTATGCTTGCAAAAACTGGCCACCTCTTTATTTCATATATAAACCTTTCATAAATCACAATACCTGTTTAGCTGTATAAACAATATTTAAAAAACGAAACAACAAAACAAGTAACAAACATGTAAATAGCAGAAATCACTTTTTGGTATGACATCGGAGTCTTTGCCGTCAGATTTTGGCTACCGCTATAGACTGTGATTTACATCTAGCTTACAGCGATATCGAAATCTCCGCGTGCAGAAACTACGCATTATTTCCACGTGTACAATAAAAATACAGCTAGCTGGTTTAAAGAGAGAAACAGCGAGCCCCGTGAGGCTGCACTCACTTGTTTCCTTGCACCTGAGCAGCACGGAGGAGAATACCAGACTGTCAGATGAACACCCCCCGCGTGACAGCCAGCCGGTCCCGCGAGCTCCTCCCTCAGCCAACCGTAACCGAGGAGGAACAATAAAGGGATTGACAATTTGCTGCACAGCACGTATAGCGTATACAGTCCGTATACGGGAGGAACAGATCACACAGTTACGCCATGAAAAAAAAGATTAGCGCTGACTAACGAAGGATCAGTACGAACACCTGTGTACCAGAGGATAGATACCTGCAGAGGAACCGCTTTTGCAGGTTTTAATCGGCAGAATAGCAAGGAGCAGGGGCGTTACTGGGCTGTCGTCAGTGGGGTGGCACACCAGGGTGGGGGGAGGGAGGGCATTTAATCAGAAATGATCAGCAGCATGCTGTGCATGTTCATTTGTTTGTTTTCACATGAGCTTTGATTTGATAAGTATCTGAGGCTGAGACCACAGGACTGTAAAACATGATTGTTGGGCTTCATTTCTGTACTGAACAGTCTTTCTAAGATTAGATAAATAACAATTAGCTAAAATATAGTTTATGTTAGTTTGGTAAAAAAAAAAAAAAAAAGTTATCAAAACATTTTTGAGATTCTGGGTGTCCACACCCAGTTTACTGCTTTTTTATTATAACACCTGTACACATTTTCCTAAATATTGCCACTGACTTCCTCCCTCCATATAATAATAATTAAAAAGATTCAGACCAATAAAAACTAAACTTATACCAAACAGTTTCAAACTATTAAAAACAAAAGTGAAATAAGAGAATCACACCTGGAAACTAACTGAAACTGAATTTAAAGCAAAAAAATAAATCAAATAAAATGAAAAAGTGTGCGTGCTTGCCCATGAAGTTTTCCTCACAGGTGTACAGGCGTGTGAGAGGAGGAGGACACTAGCGTTGAATTTGTCCAAACCTGTCACCTCACCTCTCGCACATACAATGGATTGCTTTTGTCTTTGCAAACAATAAGCACTGTTGGGAGTGTCGAGTTTCAGGGGTTTAGGAAATAAATGGATCATGACAGTTACAAGTAGGTTTTTGCTAAATCACCATTGCTGAAGTCTCTGTCCTACCCTTTTTGACCACTTTATAAGGAACATATAGGGTTTTTTTTTCTCCATGGTAGGACTCACAGTCAGAACAGATACATGCTTTTACAACAACAGTGGTTAAGAACACACTTGTTGTGGATACCTTCATAATCAGCTTCGTTTAGAGGTCAAATGATACTTCAGGCGTGTCATTATTAACAGAAAACGAGAGAAGAGAGGGAGGCAAAGAATTGCTCCCTGAGTCTTGGACCCTTGGTTTTTAGTTTTCTGTTCAATGTTTTCGGGGGTTTTGAGGAATCTATGTTCATGTTCTGTAATATTTTATGATTAGAATAAGAAATGAGAAATGAATGTATCAGAGGAGCAGTTCAGGTGAAGTGAATTTGGAAACAAAGTTGAGAGAGACGAGGCTGGATGGTTTGAATGGATGAAAACAAAGCTCCCAGCACAAGAAAATGATCACAAAGGATAGTGTGGATATGGTGGGACGGAGCCATACAACCCCTAAAGGGAGCTGCCAAAGGAAGAAGAGTTCATTAACAACAATACACAAGGTTATCAGAGCTCAAGACACAATCATTCAAATGTCATTAGCCTTGCTGTGAAAAAATACAGTTAAAACATGAGACTGAAATCTGCTCATGTTCTCTTCTTATCTTTTGCTAGTGTGTCTTATCTTTTTAATTGTCTGTTTGTCAAAATCATTGAATATGTACACTGGACAATCATTCCACTCTAGAAAGAGAACAGTTCAAACATATCATTAAAACCCCCCAAATTACCATTCCCATCACCAAATTACCAATCATGAGGCAATGTGACCTTCAATAATGTAGTACCATATCATAGTGTGCGTGATAGTGAAACCCCTGAAAACTGTTACCTATAATCCATACTCATGGATTTATGTGAATCATTCTTTTATTGGATCATGATGCTGCTTGACATAAGTATGGGTTGTTTCTCACCTCGGTCCAACAGAAAGAATGAATATTCCTGTGCAGACTGTTGAATAAATGCATGAAAACCTTAAAGCTTCTCACCCTCATCTTCTCAACATAACAGGCAATGCACAATCAGGATTCAAGGCGGTGACGCTTTGCCTCTGGATACTTTTCTTTAAATCTCTGTTGATTGTGAAATTTATAAAAGAAGCGTGCTTTATGCCTGATGATTCATTTGACTTCTAAACTAAACTAAGCTCGAAACTAAACTAAGCTCGAAACTAACCGCTGTTGTTGTAAAGGCGTCTTTATCTCCTAACTTAGAGTCCTACTCTGTGGGAAATAAAACAACAAAAACTAAATGTTCCTGTGATGTAATCGGAAAAGGGTAGGACAGAGACGACAGCAATGGTGATTTAGCAAAAAACACACTCATTTATTTCCTAGCCCTCTGAAGCTGGACACTGTAATCGTGCCTGTTGTTTGCAAAGACAAAAGCAGCCTATCATATGTGTTCGAGGTGGGGTGACAGGTTTCGAGAAATTCAATGCTAGTGTCCTCCTCTTCCACTTCCCACACGTCAGTACAACTGTGAGGGATAGTGGTGTGCGGATCGATATTGAAATATCGATTCTTCTGATACCAGTAATTTATGTTCTAGAATCGATTCTCATATTAAAATATCAATATTTTAGTATTTTGGGGTAAATTTGTAGTTTTTCATTAACAGGAACACCATGGAAAGAAACTATATCATTCGGATCGTCTAAATTGGAAGGAACTACAATTACATAATATGTACATAATACTGCAATCGTGGCTCAAGAGTTGGCAGTTCGTCTTGTAATGGGAAGGTTGCCGGTCAGATCCCCGGCTCGGACAGTCTCGGCCATTGTGGCCTTGGGCAAGACACTT